CCCGATCGATATCTTTTTATTTCTTGGATTTAATATGATTGTTGAATTTATATTAATATATACATTAGACAATTACACTATTATGTATGCTCTTCATATACACATATTTTCAATTTATTCACATCTCTATATAACTCATTCGCATATATATTTAGTAACTGTAAATATATATATATATATATATATATATATATATATAGAGATAAATATCTGAATGTATGATATATATATATATATATATATATAAGAAGTATGGATAAGTTGTATAAAATGGTTGATGATGAAAAATGAATTATGAATAGAGAAATAACATATTTAAGGTTAGAAGAATATTTTGATATACCAAAGTATCAATCCGACCAACCTGATTAACCCGACCAACCCGTACGGGTTAGATTGAGTTGGGTTGGGTTCCACTTTGGTTTGATTGGGTTCGGTTAAGATTTTTCAAACCGCAAGCATTGGATTGGGTTGTTCAAATGTCTTCAACCCGATCAACCCAACGCGTGAGCACCCCTAGCCACAATAAGATTTTTATTCCTTCTTGAATTTGAACCTGAGACCTCCTGGTACTTTCGACCTTTGGAGTAAAGCCCAAACCAATCAGGCACCCTTTTGTGGTTAATAAATTAAATTAATTATAATTATAATGATATTTTTCCAAATAAATTAATTAATTTTATATATATATATATATATATATATATATAAATTAATTAACTTATAAAATTAGAAAAGAATGATCGAGATACGTTATGTTCTTCCCGTCTCCATCACTATAATGCATTTATAATTTTAAAATAGAACTTCTAGTCGAAAGTTGAAATAAATGGAATTAATTTTGTAATTATAATTAATAAATATTTTTTATATTAATTAAATTAAAAATGGGCATATTTATTCAAGAAAAGAATGCTACAAATTTATATTCTAGTAATATGTTAGGTTAAAAGGTGGCCATATTTATTTCACGTTTAATTAAACAGAAATATGATAACGTAAGATAAAAGAAAGTATTTTATGTAATAAAAATTTATAATTTAAATTTTCTATTTTCGCATTTATTTTTCACCACAAATTTTGTCACCATTCGATTGGTTCATTTTCTAAGAGCAGCTAAACAGAATATATTAAACAATAAAACAAGAACAAGAAAATGGTCTGTAAGATATGGGAACCAAGATCGTGAAAAGAACCGCAATGAAACCATGGTAAAAGTAAAGAACAACGACTGAGGCAACGAAACAAAAGGACAGATAAAACCATGGCGTGATGTAATCACCCGAACAAAACCGAAAAGAAGCCTGCGAGAAAGAGCCAAGAGAAAAACTCTCATCAAGGCTGCAGCGGAAAGAAGATTAGGACATACAAAAGAATATTCGATTATCCAACTCCAAAATCAAAATATCTAAAAAAAATTGTTACATCCAACTCCAACAACTATACTATTTTTTACCAATTGCAGTATTAATTATATTAGTAAAATATTTTATAAATTAATCATCCAAATACGCTTTTAAAAAAACTTTATATAAAATTATAACACATTCAGCGTCATTGGTGGACACAACAACAAAAAAAAAATTCTCTTCAATATTAAGTTTTAAAGATTTCTCCAAATTTGAAAATTTCTAGAAGATAAATATTTTAAATAAATCAAATTTTATTTTGGTACATAAAAAATTCAATAATTATAAAAAATTACCTCTATCAACAATAACGTGAACAAAGTCTTCTCGTCTTTTTATCAGTCGAGCTACACGTCAGAGGCATCTATCAACAATAATTCACGACGACTTTCCAAAAAGATCATGTTGACGACGAATTTTTTTCGATAATCTTTTGTGCACGATTCATTCAGGTTTACTTAAATACATCAGCTTAATTGTAATTTCTATCACCAATGATTCACATCAGTAATTAACAACTTTTGGTTTTTATAAAAATAATCTAGTATTTTCAATAATCCAGAATTAAAACAAATATTTAAATAATCCAGAATTAAAACAAATATTACTCCACAATTTTGTAGGTTAAATGCACCAATTAAAATAGTTATTACATTGTTATAGACTTTCGGCTTCAATTAATTAATGAGTAGGAATTTCAACCTTCCGTTTGGTGAATTTATGAAATTGGTTCATTTATCATAGAAAAATCCTCAACGTTGCATTTAGTTTTGAAATTGGTGTTTAACTTAACGTTTTTCAATTAAGCGAAAAGGACAATTAATCATTAAGAAAAAATCCTAAAACCTAGTATCTTTCCTCATTCTCTCTCTTATCGTGCCCTTGTACATAAAGCTTCATGGTGGCCAACTTCGGCATTGTGACTGGATTTCCGACACTATTCAGCATCACCTTTCCACAGCATCGTTCAAGACGTTTTTGCATCATCAACTTCTACATCACCATTTTTTATTTAGGGTTTCAGCATCACCAGTTTCTTATTGTTTCTGCATCGTAGTCTCTCTGGTTCTGCATCGTCGATCAAGACGTGTTCACAAAAGTCATGTCGTTCATGATTTGTCTCTTACAAGTGTTATGTGCTTCTTCTTACTCTTCATCATTCCTTGCACACCAAGATGATGTACATTTTTGTTTTAGGCTTTCCATTTAGATTTTAGGGTTGTATTACAAGTTTTTTAAATGAATTTGTTCAAAATTGTTGTTTACGTTCAATGCATTTGATTGTATGTTGATACTCTTGAAAAAAAAAATATCGTATCATATTTAAATTAATTGACAATGTATGGTGGAATAAAAAACGGAAAAGAAAATAAATGATAATAACTAAAAATGCTATCCCATGTCATCGTCACAAGGGAAACGTAGATAAAGCGAAAGTTGGTCTTGTTTCCCTCTGACTAAACAAAACCAAAACCAAAACGAAAACCGGCATTAGTGCAGAGGACTAATTCCAAAACAAAATGCAAAGGTCTTTTTTTGTGATAAATAAAGTTTAGGGACCAATTTTATAATGTTCATCAAACCGTAGGGACCAAATCCTTACTCCACTCTCGATTAAATTAAACTTTAGTTCTGTAATACGATGACGGCGTGTGTTTTATTGAATCTGTCTTTTTCATATGTTAGAAAATCGGGTTTGAATTTTGAAAAATGCGTAAGCTTGAGTTGGACTTTTAAAATTAATGAGCGAATTAGGGTCGATGAAAAATATTCCAAACAGACGTGCTTGAACCGTCTAAATCTTTTATAGGGTTCTCCACCAAACTAGTCAATTATGGCGGGAAATTGAGTAAATAGTTTTGAAGGCTTTTATGTTATGTTCTTGAGTCTTGCTTGATTTATGAAGAAAAGCAAAAAGGAAAGATAAAATCTTGTGTTCCCGAATATTTTACCCATGCAAGATAAAGGAAAATCAAGAAGAATAACCTATTTTTTAATTAACTTGGATATCCAACCTGTTATGCAAGTCAACTAATCCCAGGACAATCACCTGTTTTGCAGATAGTCCGGAGATACCATATTTGAACCTCCATGACCACAAGAAAAATAATCTTGATTTTTCTTCAAAAACTTTCCTCCCAGATATGGAGAAAATGAAAGAGAAGAATTTATAACAATTAGAAAATATTTATGAATTTACCCATCAAATACAATCCGCTATAAAATGAATAAGAGTAAATTTGTAAAAGTGATATTTCCTTTCTCTTCTGCTCAAGAACATGAATTTTTTTCCTTTCCTTCTTTTTCTTTCACTCTTAAGAACACAGATAAAAAAAATTACATTTCTCTTCCTTTCTTATTTTTTTTAATCTTCCCAAATTCGAGAACACAAAATAACTGTTAATTCTGTCAATTAATAGAATCCACTTTTTATTAGTTGGGAATCAGCAGAAAAATCAGATACGACTATCAAATGTTTACTAAGTTGCATTATATTATCGGATGAATATGGCAAGGATCAAGAATCTTACCTGGTAAGATCGAAACAACGTCCGAGTCTTACCCAGTAAGTGAGGATCACGGCTCTTACCACAGTTAGCACTTACTGGATAAATTGTTACATATAATGTCGTTTTTATAGACTAAAATCTTACCTGATAAATAAACGATAGTGTTGAATTTTGTGTTTACCATATAAATATTTAATAAGCAGCCCCTAGGTGATGAATATATGGTTTGTTGAAAGAATAGACCAGACCAAGCAACAGAGGAATGTCCCCACAAGGATTAGGGCATTACAATCAAGGTCCCTACAATTCATTTACACTCGGTCAGCAGTTCGTTATGAATTGAGTCCCTCGTCCTAACAAACTTCCGTTTAACAAATCGATGGTTGCAGCTTTATGCGTCGATTATAGTTCAACTTGAAATAACCAAGTATGTGGAAGAATGAACCAAATTTCCAAAATGAACCCAAAGAATGAACCAAATTTCCAGCAGACGAATAGGAATTGATCACAAATATCATGAATCAAATTGTGTATCATGAATCTTCCTTAACCATTAAGAGCCCTAATTTCATTGTGCACAATTACCAAACAATTATATTTCATTTTGCACTATATCATGAGAGCCTTCTAATCATTCTGACCACTTAATCATTTTGTACCAAACCATTCAGCAATTATCAAACAGCCCCTTAGTCACAAATAAGAACATAGTTGGATGCAAACAGAATCTACAAATGAACACCATATAAACCACATAAACTTCCAACAGACAGATGGGTATTAATCACATATAAGAGCCTAATTTAATTAGAATCCCCAAATGAACACCATATAAACCCCATTAAATTCCAACAAATGAGTGGGTCCTAATCACAAATAAAGAACCTAACTGGATGTAACTAAGATCCCCAAATGAACGCCATATAAACTCCATGAATGGACCAAATTTCCAGTGCTAAGAAACCCAAATCCAATGCAAAGCAAAGGCTTTAGGGCATGATTGATTGACATTCTGGAGTTGGAAAGAATTAATAAGGACTAAACCCTAAGCATAATCAGAATCCTAAACACAATACAATTTGCTTCAAACCAAATTAACCTACTAAATTAAAGCAATCAAGCATGTCTAAGAGCATTAAACCGGCCAATTTCATAAAATCCATAACAGTAATTCTCAAAAATTCTTATCCTTATAAGACAACAAAATTGAAGGAGCAATCGATAAGATAATTGAAAAGATGCAAACTCTAATCAATCTCTTGGAGAGAGGCACCGGCAGCAACATCATCAACCGTGAACTTTCCCTTCGATTTATCGGCGGCACGGCCCTTGGCTTTCCGGTCAAGCAGCGACTTCCTGTCCTTGTCAAGCTTCAGCTTAGTGACGACAACCTTCGAAGGATTGATGCCAACATTCACCGTCTGGCCGTTCACTTTCTCACGAGTTATCCTCTCCACATGGATGACCCATTTGCGACGGTACACCTGAACCACCTTACCTTCACGGCCCTTGTAGGTTCCCCGAACAACCTGGACCTCGTCGTCTTTCCTGACGGGAACTGATCGGACGTTGTACTTAGATCGGAGTTCAGTGGAAAGGGGCGCACTCATCAACACCCGGCGGACGCTGGATGGGGCGGAGAAGTGCGCCTTCCGGCACTTGCGGCGGGAGCTGGTGACTCTTGGGTTGTACTTCATTTTTAACTTCTAGGGTTTCGTAGGGTACGGGGACGAAGAGATTCAAAGAAATAGGTATCAAAGAGGAGAGGAAATTAGGGTTCCATGTTAAATGACGGAAATAGCCTTGATTTTTTGCCTATTTACGAAAAGACCAGCGTTTCTTTTTTCTTGGACCCAAGTCGGGTTCTTTGGTTATATTATTTTTTGGCAGATTTTTTTTAATTTATTTAATAAAATTTATTATCTTTATATACAAAATTACTTAGAAAATCTTTAAAAGGGTTATATTCATCAATATTTTGAAAAATCCAACATTGATTATAATATTAAAATATTTTATTTATTTATTAAAAATATTATTTTTTGTTGTAAATAATTATTTTCAAAGTTTTTTATTGGTAGAAATATATTAAAAAATATTTCTCTCACATGGTAATCATTTTTGGGCAAATCTCCATATCTGAAGAAAAAGAAGCCTTTTCTACTTTCTCGGTGTGAGATACTTTTGGAAAATCCTTTGGAGCTCCATTTTCGAGAATCTGTTGGAGTCAATTTTAGAAAATCTCGGTTGTTATCATACATTTTATTGGATAAGATTATCGGTCTTATCATGCTCACCCGATAAAATAGATGATCCGCTCACCCGATAAAATAGATGATCCGCTCACCCAATAAATACACGCATTTGTAAATAAAAAAAAAACTCCGAACTTAAAGGTTTTGCGTCACATTAAGGGGCTATTTGGCAATTGTTGAATAGTTTTGTGTAGAATGATTAAGAGGCTCTCATGATATAGTGCAAAATGAAATATAATTGTTTGGTAATTATATACAATGAAATTAGGGCTCTTAATGATTAAAGGAGATCTATGATACAAAATCATTTAGATGGTTTTAGAACCATTAAGAGACAGACTTTTTTTTTGCCAAACACGATTCACCTCTTAACGATTCAGAGGTTGCCTCTTAATGGAACTATTAAGAGGTAAACAAACAACCCCTAAAAATGCCCTTTTGTTTTTGTTCTTTTTTTCATTTCAACCCCTTTTTGTTTAGGAATATACAATTAGCATCCGGGTATTAAAAAGCATTGCAATTTGGTACATCAATGAATCGGCCAAGTACTTACCCAACACTGCAAAGTGGAAATACAAATTATGGAGTTAAATCGTTTGATGATTGATCAATACCCGTTATGTTTTTGCAAACTAGACGAATCTTATGGAGTACAATCAGTAATATACCGATTTCTAGCAAAGAGCCAAAGACTATGAACAAACAAACTAGCTTTCTAAATATGGAAAGAACCATCGGACTACGTCATAGCAGATTCCAAATCGTCCAATGCCAAATGGGCATCCGAGGAGGCCACGTTGGCTTGGGTAAGAGGAGGTCTAGACTCTTGAGCATTTGAACGAGATTCTTCCATGGCTCGGAAGAATGCATAAGGTCCCCAACCTTCATAAGTGTATTCAAGAAAGAAGCATACGTGAAAATTGCAACAAAGATCGGAGAATGCACCTAGAGGGTTTGAAATTGGCGGAATAAAACTAAAAATAACTGAGATTTGATAAGTTATCATGTATCTGTTGTCCACATTAAGCTATCTTATTGCATACAGATTTTAATCGGCTAGAATAACTAAATTTGATAAGTCATCATGTATCTGTTTTCCACATTAAACTATCTAATGCCCGTTAAGATAAGATACCCAATCTAATACCGATTGGGGATTTGGACGCACATGGTTCTAATGAAGGGTATTCTAGACAAATGGCGGAACACATTTCGGCGATGGGCAATAAAGTAAGGACAGAAAAAACGAACGAATATTTCAGAACGAAAAAAGAAACAGGTTAAACGTTAGAAGATACCTTCGGCATGATATGGTGGTGCAAAAAACTGCAAATAGCAAAACGTGGCCACCGTGATACCTGCATCAATAAACGTGTGAATACCGAGTTTTTTTACTTCAGATACCATCTGCCACCTGCCCCCTCGGGACACGTGATTTACCTCCTCCATGATGACTGAAGGACCAGTACAATGGGAGCGCTCAGATAAAAGTTGTTCAAATGAGAAATAGGATTGCAATCAAGAACACCATTTGAAACCCGATATTGAGAAGTGTTGAACTTTACCTATGATAGCGCCTGCAAATACATCTTGCCAGTGATGCCAATAATCGTCAACACGAGAAATGCCAATAAGAGATGCAACGAGTAGAGGCAAAAACACCATGCATAGCTTTGCAACATGGCCTTTACGATCAAACACTCTTACTTTTCCAGATAAATAGAGTGACAAGAACCCAAGACCGGAAAACGACCCTACAATAGAAATGACAAAAAGTTTCAAAATCGAAGGTTATCCAGGATGGATGGAGAACACAGAGATTTGGCATTGTTACAATTTATCCGGCTTTGACTGGACTTAGAATCATGAAGGAATTAAAACATTGGGCAAAATGCAACAAAGTATAGTTCAGTTCCTATTTAGTATAACGAAGAAAAAGAATCTCAAGCAAACAGAGTTTGAAATTTTCCTAGTTTGTACCCGTTTTGACCGATAACTTGTTGATTCTGTAACATTTGATGACATGGATACCCGTTTAAGAAGGATTCACAAAAATGTTTACGAAAGGGTTACGGCAAAGTGGACAATAAACTTGATATCCACATCATCAACTATACAAGATCAGCAGGTTATCAGTCAAAACAGGTACAAAATGAAAAAATTTCAAACTTCCTCACATTAAATAGAAAATTTTCAATCTTGGTCGCATTGAATAGAAAATAAGGCAAACTTTGTTGCATTTTGATGCATTTTGATGCATTTTGTCCTAAAACACGCGAGTAATTTAGTGAAAAAACGAATCAAGTGATTGAACAAGATATACAGGCATTGTTGCTCACATGAAGTATGTCCACTTGGGAAACTCTTATGGCCTTCACTTACGACATTGCTATCGCCATGGCATATCACGTCTCCAAACCGATCATAAAACTGAAGAAAATGGCAGCATCCTAGTGAAAAGCATGCAAATCTTTGGCAAAGAGACAGGAAAGAAATAAACATATAAAAAAACGAGAAAACAATCATCATATTTGAGTAACGAAAAACTCTATAGCGGACATACATCTTTTCCATCTGGAAAACATCGCCAGAAAAAATCCGGCCGAGGTCGGCCAACTGCGTCTTTTATAGCATCCGTTATAACCCCAGTTATCAACACCGAAAATAAAAGCCCTGTGGTAACAAACGAGAATCAATCAGATTCCTTAAACTAGACTTATCACATGAAATATTTCTAGAATTGACAAAAAGGTATAAAGATTTAATCACCTAGTATGGCATGATGAAGATCATATACATCTCTTCTATAAAAATAGAAGAACATAAAGACACCCATTGGAAACAGAACTGCATATATCTAATTAACAAACATGAAATAAGATTATAATTTTGCATTAATAAAATTCTTGTTTTCTAAAGGGCAAAATGCATCAAAATGTAATGAACTTTGCCTTGGTTCCTATTTAGTGTAACAAATCAACAAAGTTTCAAGATTTTCCTATTTTTTAACCTGGTCTTGTAACATTTGATAACGTATATGTCATTTATAGTGTCCACTTCGCCATAACCTTTTCATAAATCTTCCGTAAATGGGTACCCACGTCATCAAATTTTACAAGACCAGTAGAATATTGGTTAGAATGGGTACAAAATAGAAATCTTGAAACTTCCTTACATCAATTGAGGAAAAAAATCTTCGTCAGACTAAATAGGAACTAAATCAAACTTTGTTACATCTTGCCCTTTACTTAACAACTAAACCAAATGAACGTGGTAAATCCCATACATAGTACGGTCTTTGGGGGAGGGGGGAAGGGGGCTTGGGTGGGTGTGTATGATGTACGCAAACCTTACCTCTAACCCAAGGAGCAGAGGCTGTTTTTCTGTTCTGTAAACAAACATTGAAACAAATGATGTAAAGATTACTCACAGGAACAACCCATAATGGAACTGTGTTTTCCTTCAAAGGATACTTAAGATCCGTCATCATGTCTTTTCCAACAAAACGGTAGAAAGGATGGATACGGCTTAGAACCATCATTATAACCGCTAGTAGTATAAGAATCAACCAATCATTCATGTGATTCCTTGCCACCGCAATCCCATGAGACCTCACACTATGAGCAACCAACTGTTCATCCCTGATTCTAATCTGTGCCAAAGGCACAAAAAGAACATAAAAAACTCGAGAGTTAAGATAGACCATCATTTATTTTTTTTGATTAACCTGGATATCCAACCCGCTATGCAAGCCGACTAATCCCAGGGCGACCACTTGCTTTACAGATAGCCCGGAGTCACCGCATTTGAACCTCCGTAGCCAGAAGGGGATTTTATTCCTCCTTGGATTTGAACCTGGGACCTCCTGGTACTTTTGACCTTTGGAGTCAAGCTCAAACCAATCAGGCACCACCCTTGTGGTTAAGATAGACCATCATTTATTTTTTTTGATTAACCTGGATATCCAACCCGCTATGCAAGCCGACTAATCCCAGGGCGACCACTTGCTTTGCAGATAGTCCGGAGTCACCGCATTTGAACCTCCGTGGCCACAAGGGGATTTTTATTCCGCCTTGGATTTGAACTTGGGACCTCCTGGTACTTTTGACCTTTGGAGTCAAGCTCAAACCAATCAGACACCACCCTTGTGGTTAAGATAGACCATCACTTATTTTTTTGATTAACCTGGATATCCAACCCGCTATGCAAGCCGACTAATCACAGGGCGACCACTTGCTTTGCAGATAGCCCGGAGTCACCGCATTTGAACCTCCGTGGCCACAAGGGGATTTTTATTCCTCCTTGGATTTGAACCTGGGACCTCCTGATACTTTTGACCTTTGGAGTCAAGCTCAAACCAATCAGGCAACACCCTTGTGGTTAAGATAGACCATCATTAGGACTACAATCAAGAGAACATATAATTTCAAATTACAAGTGATACCTCTGCCTTCTTGTCATCCATCAACGGATAATACAGGTGATAAAACCGGTTGTTTGTAACCGCAGAAGTATCTAGCTTCCTGCTTGATGCATCCTGTAGACCCTAAAGAATCAGTCTTTAAATGGAAAACAATATAACTTGGATGTCCTTAATTCAAATTGAATTCAATAAGAAAAGACTATAAATAGAAAGCCTAATTAACAAAAAAAGAGATGTAGTATCATGTGTTAGGCTTATGTAGTATGTTATGTCTAAATTCCCTCCTAACTTTTGCATGGGCAACTTAGGCCAAATCCGTGGACCTTTTGGCACATGAACTTTTAATAGATCAGGAAGCCATGAATTTAATTAAAATCTCATTTAAGGTTATATACCTAAATGACCCATCAATTTATCCCATAAAAGATCATAGGTGGTTCATATATGTTTCCACCAAATATAACGTTCCAAGCCCAAGACAACAATTTGCCAAATATCCTCCAAATCAACTTAAAACCATGGTGGGAAGTTATTAATGGCACAATTCCTAGACTTGTGCTCACAAATCTAACTTAAAACCAATGTACAAGAAGTCATATAAAGTCGCCCACTTAAATTCCTGACGTTTTTGTTAGACTTGCACAAAATCCCAAATAGACATAGAATCAATACACCCAAGAGTCCAACCCTCATCCCAAAAAGGCAAATGGACTTGACAACCTCCACATCAATCTACAAAGTTATTACTTATTAGTAGTCTATTAAAGACTCACAACGGGCTCACATATCTAATTCATAACCGTTATGGGACGGGTTGTCACACACCTAATTAGCCTAAACTCTTCAATAATTTCATATGGAAGGGTAGGCTTTCGCTTAGATAAAACCAAGCATTTTCTCCATCACAAAGATGGCTTAATGCAGTCATTCTCATGTGCATATACATGGAAACTGATCAATCGAGTTCAGAAAAAAGTTATGATATCCAAACATCAATTTGGGGGAGTATCAAAATGACTGATTATGCAATAGAAATTTTCACATTCACAGTTAACTCTTGGAACATAATATACAGATTATCTACACTACAGAAACATGATATCTTATTGAACCAATATAAAACAAACAACCTACATGATTCAGTAGTTTATTGTGTTCTTGCCTTAACTTCTATAAGTACAAAAATTTCAAACATTCAAGCTAAGTGAATTATAGTAATCTAGAAGTTGGAGCTCAAATTTTGATCTATTTCTACTTGATTCCCAATTCGAATGTGCAATTTTTTAGCTCTTAAACCTAGCAGCAACAGTCAAATATGGGTATTTAAGCTAACATTTCAGAGATATAATCAAAATAAACACAACTAAAATCCAAGATCATGAAAACGTAAAACCGAAAAACCTTCAAAACCCACCTGAGAGATTTCTGGGGAATTCCTAAAACCGAAAAGGGATTTCAGATTCCACTGCCAAGTACCCATCTCAAACAAACAAATAAATTATGAAAATGCCATTGAATCAAATGAATGGTTAAGATTGTGCTATAACAGGTTGTCGAGTAGAGAACACAGGGGGAATAAGAGAGAAAAAAGAAAAAGAAAAAGAAATGGTGAAGAGTAGTGAAATTTTAGTAAAAGGGTGTTGTCATTTGACCTAAAATTGTACAATTTGATTGGGAAGATTTGGATATGGCGACGAGTGAGTGGGGGCCAAACCCATGTCGACAAGATACAGGTTCAATAATGATGGCAACTTCAATTCAAGATAGAACATGGAAGGGAGAGAAGAGAATCTTCGAACGAAGTTGGGACTACGTGTTTCTCTTTCAACAAACTATATTAGCACTATTTGGGGAAGGATTTTTTGTCATTATTTTCGGATCAACTTCATAATTTATGATAAAAAAAATAGAGAAAATAGTTAAAATAGTGTTTTTTTTCCCGTTTACCTAAATGTTTACCCAGTAAGTGCTTAATATTAAGAGTCAACACTATAATTTATTTTATTAAGTAAGATTGTAGTACATCAAAACGTATCTTAGACAACAATTTACCTGGTAAGCGCTTACCCGAGTAAGAGTCGTCATCCTCACTTACCGGGTAAGACTCTTCATCCTTATCATTGCTCTTACCGGATAAGATTATTGGCTCTTGTCATGTTCATCCAGTGAGAAAAATTACTCGGTAGATACTTACCGGGAAAGCGTTTAGTAAACGGCCCCTAAGTGAAACATACGGAACATTAAGGAGAATTGGAAGATGATGAAATATTCATGAACACAAAACCCCCAAGTGTTCAACCACAAAAACCCATACTTGTTCAATTCTGAAAAACCGTTAACATATCGCTATAGCATGTAGTCTAAAGTTTTATTGTAGTCTTAGACGACGTTTACTGATAACCAAACATTTAAATACGTAGTCGGTCAATCCTTGTTACATCTGCTTATTGTCATATTTGTGCTCTAATGACTTCGTCTATAATATCATATATTTCAACCTCTTTAATCACGAAATCCCTTTTGTTGTTGTAGTTGCTAAGGACCAATTTTGATGTCCGCAAGTTTGCAATCTGTGTTTCTTGCTTCTTACCTTTCGATCTTGTTTTATCCCGTTTCTTCAGTGCTTAGACTACTAAAAGAACACAATCAACACTTTTGTTCATTAACTGATTACGTTCATAAAATACACAATCCATTATGGAAAATCTTTACACTTTGCATTTAAGTTGTATTATACACTTTTTTTTATTAACCTGGATATCCAACCCGCTATGCAAGCCAACTGATCCCAGGAGGATCACCTGCTTTACAGATAGCTTGGAATCATCGCATTTGAACCTCCGTGGCCACATGGGAATTTTTATTCCTCCTTGGATTTGAACTTAGGACCTCCTTGGTGTATTTTGAGTATCACATGATGTTCGCCGAAATAAGGTTTACCGGAGGTCGGAAACAAGAGAGAGAGAGAGAGAGAGAGAGAGTAGAGATAAAAAGAATTAACACCTGAAATATCCTTTAATTAAAAATTTAAGTCAAATTATCAAAAATATTAGTTTTTTAATTTATCCATTGATTTGTATTTAAGATTGGATCTCACAGTTATCACAAACTAACCAGTTTTTCCTTGAATGGACCCTTGTATATATTCTCATAGTAATTATTTTTTAGAATACTTCAAATTTAGAGAACGTTGCACACCGACTCCTATTTCCTTTATCTTATTGGAGCAAAAAACTTGTATAAAATCTTTATTTTCTCTATTTTAAAAATATGTTAAAGATGCTCTAACTTTTATTATAAAGTGTTAAAGACCATTCATCTTTGAACATCACCCATGAAGCTTATTCCTATCCTACGGGTTAGAGGTTCAAATCTCACAAGATGAGAAGTGTGTAGAATAGAAAATACGTGTAAAACCATACGTACAATTAAACCCGAATTGGTTAAGCTTAAAAATGGAATAGAAAGCATGTGTTAACTTCAATCAAAACCCATATCATTCTCCAAACAGAGTTACATATGCTACAAATAAGGTAAAATGCATCTGGCGTTTGAACCAATAAACGAGCTTATAAAGCTTGAACTTGAACTTTAAATAAAACAAACATGTCTACATATCCACTCCTCTATTTCTTATACATCTTTTTTCAAAATAAAGCATCTTAACCAAAATTACTCACTCTAAACCAAAATCTTCATTCATGTCTGTCTAATCTTCATCCATGGCTGCTTGTTCTCTCCTACCAGGCCCACCAGCTGGTTTTGACATTATTATCTGCAAATCGTACCAATAATCATTTACAAATATTCTAATCCATACAAGAAATACACAATCACCTTTCAATTATTTCGTTACTAATTTACATCGAGTTCCCTTTATTTGAGGTTATCGAAACAAAGACTTGGATTTTTTACGGTTTCCATATTAATATACAAACAAAACACACAGAAAACCGTTTTTTAACCATGGTGGAAACTTCCCATGTAAACATCTGAAGCTATCTTCAGGTGTTTTGATTTTCAAAACATAATCTACACATATAGTTTAAGAACACAAAACCAAACTAAAAGGAGAAACAAAGAACAAGCAACGAAAAACATGAGAATTATTAATAGTTTTATGTTAGTCGGTACCTGATCTACACGTAGAACCGTACAAACTGCATCAGCAGCATACTTGAGTGCATGAAACCTATAAACATAACAAGTTAAAGACCATCAGACAACTTGGTCTCCCTGGAGTTACAAATTATATCTACCAATAGCAATCATACTGTATTTTCGTTCAAATTCAGGTTCATCGTTGCCATTATTAAATAATAGAAGATAAATTACACAAGTCCAAGTCCTCCCAGAGCCACTGGAAGGTTGGGTTGGCTGTTAACGTCAAGGTTTTATGGGATTAGTCCAGGAAGCTGGCCCGGACACCCTTGATTACCAAAAAGAAATAAATACAAGTAACATTTAGAAATTTATAGAGAGTGAGGTGCTTACTTGGTGACATAAAGATCCCATATATTTAATGTAGACACATCCTTACATGCTCCTTCTTCCAAGTCTATACCAACTTTGACATTTCCAGATGCATGATCCGCATATAAACTAGATATGATTTCCATGGCATTAAGCCCAGCATTCTCCGCCAACGTTTTTGGTATCATTTCAAAACTCTCAGCAAACTTTGCAATAGCATACTGATCTAATCTGCAAAGTTCAAATGCATTTCTTTCAACATAAATCCAAATATAATAATTTCACCACCATCTCCGAAAATTATTCGTCAAAGAAACTACTTCCAACTACGAATTGATAAGAATCATATAAACTTTGGGAACAACTGATAACTAATTTGAAGCATACAAAAAACGACTGGAAATCAGAAAAATGGTGCTAAACAAAAAGATCTATATCACTTTTTAATGCAAGAAATACTAAAAGAGATGTTCTAAATCTTATTAGCACAACTAATTTGGGGCAAATGAGGTAATATTTACAAGAATTGCTAATTATATCGAGTAGCTTCGCTGGTCTAAAATATTGATAAGAAAATAAACAAATTAAAAAATGATCATGTTAGCAGGTACAGAACATGTAAAAAGAGGAAGCCATTATCATGATAACAAGATGCTAAGCACACTACCAACAGGATCAAGGCATGGGATCCATACAACTAGGGGCGTTGGATTGGGTTGGCAGGTTGCCATCATTCTTTTAGACAAGTCTGTGTGTTCAATTTTTTGTGACTTAAAAGTATTGTTCATCGTTCGAGTTAATCCGTCAAGTATAACAGATAGATAATATTGAATTACTGATATACAAGTACACACAACAAAGAACTAATTGTGTTTGCAAGATTTGAAAATATGTTCTCATATCTACACTCGTGCATGTTGCCTTCACCAAACCAAGGTATATACGTATATATATATATATGTACGTATATATATGTATGTATATATATATATATGTACGTATATATATGTACGTATATATATATTATTATATATTGCTTAGTTTCATACATTTGTATGCACAATTTAATCCAATTCTTGTGTTACTATTACATTACATTAGATAGCAACATATAAATAAGAATTAGGCAAAAAAAATAAGGAAAAGTCTAAAAACACCCAACAAACTTTCAGATTTTGAATGATTACGACCCTGAATTTTTTTTTTTAAATAAATAACCCGTTGAACTTTCACTAGTCAGTTAATGTAACTTTTTTTGGGTTAAAAAGATGTAACAATTTTTAAAAATGCAATGGTTTATTCATTAAAAAAAATTCAGGGACTTAATCAATCAAAATGAAAATGTTTAATGGTTTTTTCATTCAAAAAGAGAAAGTTTAATCGTTTTTTCATTCAAAAAAATAGTTTAGGGACTTAATCATTTAAAATGAGAAAGTTTAATGGTTTTTTCATTCAAAAAAGAATAGTTTAGAGACTAAACCATTCAAAATGGTAATTTTTCTTGGGTTTTTTTGAACTTTTCCCAAAAAAAAATATGAAGAAATAGTACTCCAAAAATGCAGCTCAGACAAAGTAATATAAATTAAAATTTATCAAAATTATATATTAGCAGTGGGTGGGCGGTGGGTTGGGTTGAGTTATGCCAAACCCAATTTCAACCCTATTAATTGGCAGTTTGGCGGTTTAGCGGGTTGGGTTTAATGGGTTGTTTGCAGGTTGGGTTGGCTGGGTTGGCGCTTTTTTGTACAGCCCTACATACAACCATGATTAGGATAGCGCTATCTCTCTCAGAATGCACGAGGAAACAAAATAGAAAAAATTACTAGATGCAGATGAGACCATAAACGTAAGTCTAACCAAGAAAAAGAAAATTGTAAAATAAAATACTACTCGTCGAGTAGGCGGATAGATGTTACTTTGCTAAAGTTTGTGCTTATTTCTAAACATAAACCAGGTGAAATCACTTTGCCAATATACAGAAAGAAGCTATGACAGAGCAAGAAAGCAAATACCCCGTCTCTGTGAAAGAAAATTCCTTCAATTTTCTGGCTAATTCGATTTCAGTGGCTGCAGCTCCCGGTACAATTCTACTGTCCCTGCATAACGCCTGGAACAGAAATAAAGAAAGATTGCAAGAGTTG